AGCCACCCAGGCGCCCCAGTTGGAAATTGTTTTTAATTCACTGTGACAATATGTGTCTTTTGATTATATGGTTTCATTCATTTACATTTAATGTTATTCACATAGTTGAATTTATAGCTGCCGTTACTTGTTTTTCTGTTACATGCCTTTTTTGCTCCTCATTTCTCCTTTACTGCTTTCTTTTTACAGTAAGTAAATACATTCTTTTGAACATTTTAATTCCTTTAATGAGTTTTTCACTATGTCCTTTCCCCCCCACTATGTACTTTGAAAATACAGTGTTTTATATGAAATTATAAGTAGGGATTTTATTCCTAACCCCTCCAGCAATTTTTTTTGTCTATATTGTAATAGAAATCTTCATTGTGTTTCTTTTATAGTGTTTGATGTAATGTCAGAGGTAAATATAGATTTGTCCAATAAATTTGTCCAATAAATGAAGACAGAAAAGAAATTTGATTCCTTTTTTAAAAGTGTTTATTTAATTTGAGGAGAGAGAGAGCAATAGTGTATGGATGGGGCAGAGAGAGAGGGGGCAGAGAGCCCTGATGTGGGGTTCAATTAAATGACTGAGGGATCATGACCTGAGCCAAAATCAAGAGCTGGACACTCAGATGACTATGCCACACAGGCACTCCCTCCTTTTTTTGTCATCTGTGTGGCATACTTGTTATATCTAGGACCCAGATTAGAAATCAGCGTTGTGGTTAACTTGGTTTTAGTAATAATATAAAAACATTTCGTTTCTTTGATATTCAAGACATTTGCTGAGAACTGTGGGGACTATAGTAAGATCTCTAAGAAACAGAGTGTTTATTTTAATGTGATTTACTATGATTTCTCTTACATTATAGACTAAAAGGAATTTGTTACATGGCCCAGGAATGAAATCATGAATGAAATGTATATAATGTGTGCATGTCTTCCTGGACAAGATACCTCACCGCCAAAAATTGCAATCTTTGAAATTAGGCAGAGTTGGATTTTTCCTAAACTTTTGCCCCATTGTAGCTAGGTATTAAGCCTTCATAAATTTCAGTTCCCAAATTTGTATGGCTTGTAATTTCTAATGTATAAAGTTTTATTTGTGTTGGAAGAGCTGTTGTATGTAAAACCCTCATCATAGTGCCTGGCACCATAAAAGAGAGTTAATAAATATTCCAAATAAGAAATAATGACACAAAAAGGAATATAAAGGATAATATTTTTGTAAATTTGGGATAGTCAGTTATTGATTTCTGATCATTAACATTGAATACTTGTTCAAAGTGGTATTTAATATTTGTCGAATGGTTGTGGAATTAATTTGTTATATTTTTAGTGATGGTAATTATGTGTTTACTATCATTTTTAATATTTTGTTTTCCAAATGGTATACATCATATTCAGTGTTCACAGGTGGATCTTTTGGGGACTTTGAAGGTCTCTTATATGAGGCACTTATATTTCCTAAAGTGTTACGTTTATATATTTTTTAATTAAGAAGACATCTATATCTATTTTTCTATCTGTGTTTAGTGACAGTAGTCTACACAGATGCCTCCAATTCCAGTACAACAGTCCAGGATTCCTTCTAGCCTTCTACCTTGTCAGCTTCCTTCTCCAACATTAAAAAATGTGGCTTTCATTATCCACAATATATTTACTTCCTTGTTCAGTCACAAGATGCAAAGAAAGTGTTTCAGAATTGCTAGCATGTATCTTTGTGGGGAGTGTTGAGATGTGGACGGCTAATTGAGTTTAATACTAGTTTGGAGTTGTATTAATATGCAGTCTTCTTTGATATTGCTGTAAATTGAAATTGCTTCATCCTTATATCATTGAACTTATTATATTGGTATATTAAAAAAGCTATTGATCTATACGGTAATTTTATATCCTGCTTCTTTACCAAGTTCTTTTATAGTTTGATTTAGTTATATTATTCATGGTTTATTCTAGAAAATATATTATCTGCTAATAGAGTAGTTTTACCTCTTCTTTTCCAACTCTCATGACTTGTGTTTTAATTTCTCTTGTGTTATTATATACTTGTGTACTTAATAGCATTAGTACACTATTCAGTAGTAGTGGAGATGGTGGGCATCCTTGTCTTGTTTCAATCTAAAGGAAAGTGTCTGTTATGTGTCTGCATTAAGTAAGAAACTGACCCTGATGATTTCCTCTTTATCTTTGAAATCTCATAGTTTTAAATGGTGTCTCGGAGTTACTAGATATGGGTCATTGTGTTCCTGGTACTTAGTGAGTGTTTTTAAAATGTAGGTTCAAAGCTTACATTATTTCTGACAAAGTGGTTTTTTTTAAGATTATAGTTTTAAACATTAATTCTGTTTAGTTGTTACTTTTATTTCTTCAGGGATTAAAATTTTATGTAGGTTGGATCTTCTTTGCATGTCTTGCATTTCAACCACTGCCTTGGTTTTTTTCTACTTTTATTAATTCCCCTTATTAAATTTCCATTCAGCTGTTTTCTTGCAGGAGCACCTGCAGTTTAATCATCATATCTGATTATTTTCTTCCCCTCTCAGTTTATTTCCTAGTTTCAGTCGACTCCAGTTTCATTTCTTCCTGATGTATTTTGTTTATTTCTTTTCTCTGTTTATGAATTTCTGATTCATGTTCATTTTTCTGATCTTCATATGCTTCTTTGAGGATACGTCCTTTTGGAGTGTTGTGTTAGATAGTTTTCTTTTGCTTTATCATTAGTTTTTTTTTTTTTTTGTAAATACTTTTCATCAGTTGAGTTGTTTTGATTTTCATTTTCAACACTTAGAGATTACTTACATCTTTACGTTTCTTTTGACAGGGTTGGTGGTTTGGATTTGAGGTAGTTTGCAAGATTCCTAGTACAAGAATACCCTTTCTGCCAGAACATCACAGTATGCTTTGTATTAGATGGCTGTTTTGAGGGAGAGCATGTAGGACGGGGTGTATGTTTTAAAGTTATTTTTTATTTTTTTGTTGTTGTTCTTCTAAGATCCTGAATTTCCTCTTCATTTCTTTTTTCTGTTACCTTATATTTTCTAAGGAATTCCTATTCCTCTATCTTTTAACTGTTTTCTTCTTGAAATTTTTTTTCCAAGACAGTCTCCTTGAATCCGCCCTCCATCTTATCCTCTTGAAATTTCTACTTTGTAATCCACTGTGATCCCTGAGGAATCTTAGACAGTATTTTTATACTTAGAATACTCTTTCTCTTGCTCCTGTTGATTTCAGTTCTTTCTTTTGCTCACCACCAACTCCTGACTGTTTCATTAAGGGCAGTTTTTTCCTGACTGCCCCAGGTCTTTTCAAGATTTTATGATATAAGCATGAAATATAACTCTCTGACATTTAGGGCTTATTTTTCTATTTACATGTAATTTGAAGTTTGGAGATTCTCAGTTTTTTAGTAATGCTTAGGACATAGTTTTTCATCTTAGATTTTTACAGGTTTGTGTTGGGAGATTAAGATTTACCTAGGTACCATTAATTTGCTTACCTGTTACTTAAATTATGTTTTGAGAATATTTTTCTGATAATTTTTTCCTTTGTGTGTTACATTTGTTGTAGAAAGATTTAAAATATTATGATATTTATGCATATATATAGGGATCTCAGCTTTATTATTACTTAGTCTTGTCTCTTTTAATTCTTTGTTGAAGGAAGATAGCTGTATTTCCTTTTTCTCCCAAATTAATGTTAGTATTGACATTTAAAACAGTAAGAATTTCAAATAATTTTTGTTTAAAAATTTCCCAATTAAGGGAACCAGGTCTGATTTATTTCCACATTTTGAAAAGGAATTTATTTGTTATCAGCAGGAGCTTTTTGGGATTATTACTGTCATGTTGACGTTGCTATTGTTGCTGACAAACATAAATTTGAAAGGTGTTAATCTGTTTAAAAACTTTTCCTCACTAACATATTGACTTTGAGCTATACCTTCTGTTGCTTCATTTAGCATAAAGGAATATTTTCTAATAATTAAGTTCTCAATGACAGTCAGTTCTACGCCTCATATTAAGGAAAGGTGGAAATATAAACATATTAAAATAGAATGCTTTTTAAATTTTACTAGAGTAATACTGAAGTTTATCATATGAATAGTGCTTTCCTAAAAATAAATGACTTTGGGTTAAAGAATATAGTTATGGTATAAGGAATATAGGTATGGTTAAGGAATATAAGGGTTATGGTAAAATAACTAGAACATTTTAAGGTTACTTAGGTAACTGTTGTCTGAAGATTATCTGTAAATTTTGCAAGACACCTCACAGCTATAGTCAGTGAAATTAAAAGAGAATATTTTATTTATGTTCCATTATCCCCAGTCAACTGTTACAAGTTTTCTTTATATAATTTCTTTATTGTATATTCCTAGATTTCCTATTTTCATCCCACGTTCTCTTTTTAACACATCCTAAACACTTTTCTTCTACACACCTTTTCTGATACTCAGTTGTAAATTCATTTTTAAAATTTAATACTTTCTCTGGTTTTTCTTTAAAAGGTAGAAATCCATATTTATGAGCAATTTAAAAGTAGCAGTGGACATCTTTTATTTAGAATAACTCAAAAGTAGGGTGGTATTATTACCTTTTCCTTTCAGGTTAATTTTAAAGAAATCCTTTGGATGGCATTTAACTTTCTAACAGAAAACACATTAGGTCAATGTTTACTGGAAAACTCAGTTGTTTATATATATATTTTTATGACAAAGTTTCTCCTTAATTTAGCTACAAAATTATGTTTAATGAATATATTGGTAGTTCATAACTAAATTATGGGGGTAAGACACCATTTAATAGGTTATTGATTTAATGTTGGTAAAACCCTCACTATTGTGGGCAAAAAAAGCCCCACACGTCTGATTTTGTGCAGATGTTTTATTGTGATAGATCTATTATCCAGCTATTAGAAGATAAATGACTGATCTTTCCCATTTTCCATGCCTCAAGAAAATTGAAATAAGAAGGGGAATATCATTTGGGCTGTATGATTAGGGCAGGTTGGATGGCCATTAATTTAAGAGAAGAAAATCTTGGCAGCATTGGCCAACTTATACCATATTATCAATCAAACCTTGATGCACTTCTTGTGATGACCCAGCACTCTCAGGTTTTTGCAACGTTAATTAGAATTCATGACAAAATAGATGCAAGGAAACGTTTTGTACCCTTCATAATTTTATAGAAAATTTATTGTTATTAGAGGAACCATTTGCTTAGTGTGATTTTTTTCATTACCAGCTTGTCAACTAGCATAGATAATCTGGAGAAAATATGAACTCCATAGATGGGGTGTCACTTTTGTTGATGGTTCATGTAGTTTACCTTGGAGCACAGCTAATGGCTGAAGTTCATAGCAACAGCACAGAAAAACGTGGCAACCAAGGGAAGATAAATGAACCATGTTTATAGCTTTAATATAAAAAATACATAAATGGAAAACTGCATTTGAATTTGATGAGCTCATTGCTAGTTTTGTTGGAGTGATTTATTTTTCCCCTTATATAAAAAGCTACTATTGACACAGTGAGATGGAAATTAACTGTCTGTTTTTGGGAAACCAATATTTTTGGTTTTAAAATCTGAGTAGATCATTTTATTTTAATTCTGGAAGTTTTATAGAATATTGAACATTTAATAGCCCAAAATTATCAATTCTGGCATTGTTTAGCCTAGGGTCAGTTTGTTAAATCCATAGGATGAAATATCTAAAATGGTCAGTTTTATTTTGTGAAGGTACTTTTCTTTATATTCTTCCTAATTATTTTTGTGTTTTCTTAAACTTTATTTGTACTTAAGTAATTATTTTCTTTTTTCTTGTTATCTGTTTGTACTTCAGAATTATTTCGGACCTATAGCTCTTGGTATAATAAATTTAATACCATTTGGTAGCTGAGTTTTTTTAATTGTTTGGTGTCTACTAAACACTTTGAAAAAAACCTTTTAGGGTTAGGCAAAATAACTTGATTTTACATAGTATTTCTTTAATTGAAACTTTGTTGAAGTGCTACTTCAATTTCATAGACACTGTTATTCTAAGTGGTATTATTTATTTTTGTACTTTAATATCCTTTACCAGTTGATATGTATATCTTAATGTAAGATTGGCCTAAATGTAAAATACATAGATGGATAGATCTGTTTCACAAATACTAAGTTATTCTATAGTTTGATGTCATAAACTTAGTTGTTTCCAGAGATTTTTAAGTCATACTAATTCTAACCATTTAGAAATATGATTATCACAGAATGTTATTTTTGAGGAGTGATAGATGCAGAAAATAATCAAAATGTGGAGATGAAAACATGAACTTAACTTCCTTTCCATATCAATAGCAAATGGGAAATTATATGTATAATACATTTTTTATTTAGTTCACACAAATAATCAATTCTTTGCTTCTTCGATTGAAGTGCATTCATGCTGGGACCAGCAGGCACCAGTACATGGGCAGGGCTGGAGTCAATAAATGCGGCTTCACGTTTATACTGATTGGTAATTCATAAAATCCCCACAGGACTGGAAACTTGTTTAGCATAATAGCAAGTCTATATTCTGAGCTGTTTTCTTTCAATTGTATTGTTGGTTGCATATTAATAAACTAAATGTCAGCCAAGTAGAGGGACAAACACTAAAAATACGAATATCATTATATCTAATATTTTTTAAAAAGTACCATTTCAGTAAGTTACATTTCTATTTAATTGCTTACTTTAAGTCATTGGGGAAATTTTAGACACTAAAATGAAGATCCCTAGTGTTTAGAAAGAATATGATATTAATTTATTTTTTCAACAGTATTATATTTTGGCTAACTGCACATATATCAGCGGTACATATATAGAAGTATTTGTATATTATGCATTCTGCTTAGCTTGTATATTTATACCAAAGATATCTTAATTTCACCACTTTGTATGACAATTACAAAAACTGCATTTATGGTTCATTAATTGGTCTTAGAGCTGTCTTTTGTTGGTAATACATTATTTCAGTTTATACACATTGTTATATAGATTATATTAATGTACTAAAATTTTCGCCTTTGTATTTTCTTTGTAAATAAATTATACTGGTAAAAATTAACAGGTAGATTAAAATGTTGAAGATATGAAAGTGTTTTGTATCAGAATCCCCTTTAAGTTCCTCACACACTTTAAGATACATTCATTGTCATTCTCCTTTTAAACTGACATGATGTGGTCTTTGTTATTGTCTTGATTATTTTCCTGAATGTTATGTACCAAATAATGAATCTTTAGACTGGAATTTAGGTAGCTTAAAAATGAAAAATGTATGTGACAAATATGTTGAGTCCATCCAGGTATGAACAATTTATTGAAATTTAATGTGACAAAAAATTGTTGGATGTAGTACTAATACTTCTGATTGTAATACTTGAGGGAAGTATTAGCTTTTCAGACATGTTACTACTATAAAAATTATTCTTTGAGTGATTGACACTTAAAATTTGTTATTTAAACAATCATTTTGTTAATTAAATAACTGAATACTTTAAATATTCAAGGTCAGTACACTGATTGTATCCTTGTATCGCCTGAATAGAATCTTTGACGGGGAGGAAGACATTTTTTAATGAGTTACTATTTCTTTCTTTTCTAGCTGGTAGCTGGCAGTGTTGTGATGGCTTTTGAAGAAGTGTGCCCGGATAGAATAGATCTGATTCACAAGAATTACCGCAAGCTCTGTAATTTACTAGTTGATGTAGAAGAGTGGGGGCAGGTCGTCATAATCCACATGCTAACTCGATATGCTCGTACACAGTTTGTCAGTCCTTGGAAAGAGGTAAGTGTTGAACAATCTTCCACTTATGAAGTGTACTAAGAACATGGGTGAGCTTTTAAAAATGTGTATAGGAGTAAGATAATAGAAATCCGCATATTATGGAGGACTTCTTTTTCTTATGTTCTTTTGGAAAGTAGAAAACAAATATAAATGCAAGGGTAATTTTTCGTTATTTTGGCACTGATGGACCTATCCTTAATGACATAGTGTATAAACTTTTAGTATGATGCCTGGCAGGAGGCCCTTGTTAAGAGCAGCAGCATGATACAGTGTTTTCAGGGATATTGCCAAATCATAGGGTTTTTTAGCAGTTTGTTGCTTTTATATCTTTAAGTCTCAACTGCTCAAGTGATTAAATTGTACAGTGGGTAATGTGATTGTAGCACATGTAAATTTAAGAATATAGTTTGTTTTTACTGAACTTTAAAACTACTTTTTCCCAGTTTTGTATTTTAAAAAAATGTTTGTTTCCCTTTTTTTCACTTAAGCTGATAGTATTTTAGTAAAATTAGCAATTAAATATGCCTTAAAATGAAGTTGTTTTCTTTGTGCATATTAACATTAGAGGCATACCTATCTACCTAGACGCATACCTTCTTGTTACTTTATTGATGATTGAAAAAAATTTATTGCATAGTTTGCAATAGACGTCTCTGTGTGTATATATTTAATATTTAAGTGTAAGTTTTAAACTTGTTTAAAAAAAGAAATCATTAAATATTACAAGAATAGCACATTCATTCTAATCTTGCATATTTTTTTTTCTGTCTTTTTAAAATTAAGCTGGTAGAAGGGGGCGGGAGGTTGGGCAAAATGGGTGAAGGGGAGTGGGAAATAGAAGCTTCCAGTTACAGTCATGGAGATGAAAGGTACAGTACAGGGAATATATTCAGTGGTATTATAATAGTGTTGTATGGTAATGGGTGGTAGCTACACTTGTGGCGAGCAGAGCATAATGTATAGAATTGTTGAATCACTGTGTTGTACACTTGAAACTAATGTAACGTGTGTCAACTATACTTCAATTAAAAAATACAGTGTTATAGATTTTTAAAATCAACTTTGTAAAAAGTAAAAGATCAAAAATCCCCCAGTTATGTCATGATAGTTTGTATACCAACTTAAGCGTAGGGCTTGAGTGCTTAGTACATTTTACTTTTGTTAATTAGAAATAATGTGGAAAATGTATGTAAAACAGAGGAATGTTCATAATACATACTTTAAGATGTTATGTTAAACTTTCAGATGTTTAAGGAATTTAAATGTTTAAAATATTTGTCAATACTTTTTATAGTGACTAGGTATTGTTAGTACTGAGAATTATTTAAAAATTTTAAAAGTGTATCTTTATCCAGAAATCTACTTGTGATACTGACTCCATCTTAATTTTGATATTAAGAAAGTGTTTAGGTTATTTAAAATCAAAGTATGTTTTGAATTACTCATATATAAAAGTCTCAAGCCACATAGGACTCTTAAATTGATGATTGCTTTTTTTTTAATATAAAGTTAATTGTATTAATCATTAACAGAGTAAACTTCTGATGTCACTTTTGCTGGCTTAAGCAAGAACCTGCCAGTGCTGCAAAAGTCTTGGCCCTTTCATGTAAATAATAACTTTAACAGGAGATTTTTGTTGCTAATAATAGGTTGTGTGATTTTAGCCAGTTGTTTTCCAGGGTGCTGTTTAGATATTTTGTTTTCCTTTTGTAATGTTATTATAAGTTTGCCTTATCTAACCGTTGTCATTATTTGGTAAGATTTTAAATTTTACTTCCCTGTCACCATCAGATCATTTTCAGTATCTGTATGCAAATGATTCTTTGCTTTGGTATTATGTAGAAATTAGAGTTAAATACATTTCTCCTTACCATAGCTTCTAAAAATATGTAATAGACTTTAAAATCTGTATTTTTGCAATTTGTCTTTTTATTTGTGTTTCTGTTCCTTGAATTGTATTTCATGTTATTTTACATAAAATTCATGTTTAAAGCTGTTTACAAGGCCAGGAAGGTAAATTTTGTACTGCCATGTATATTTACTCTTTTGACAGATAATTTGAAAAATTGGGGCTCTGTGTATTCCTTGAGTTTTCAAATGTGTATTCTTTGGATGTTTATTATTACTAACATAAGATGAAGTCTGGTCATTGTCCTGGGTACAGTGAAACTGGGCTCAGTAATTTCTTACCTTTGGCTCTTACTTGCAGTCTGACCTTGACATTTTTCTAGTTTATGTGGTTAATAGACTTAATTCCCTAGTTTTCAAATATGCACCTCAGGTGTCAGGATGCTGTAACACTGCCGCAGGCACAACCCGGGGGTGACTGGGGCTTGGGGGATGGGGAGCAGTGATGCTCTGGACTCTACACGTCCTGGGTTCTTGCCTCTGGTCCAGACAGAGCAGCCCTCATCTTTGTCTGCCCTTCACAGACAGCTTTGAATATGATTTCCTTTGAGAAGGATTCCTTGGCTTAAAGAAAGGAAAGAGAAGAAGAAAACCTTACTAAAATAGATTTGGAAGGGTTTAGGTAACTATAAAGATAACTTTTTTTTTTTTTAATTGTAGAACGAGGTCAGGCACATGGTGAAATAAAATAGAAGTCATCGTTTTCATAACCTCACGGTTAACCCCTTAGAGGCATTTACTGGCAGTTGTTGAAATTCCATCATTCTAGTGGTTATAAATTTTACTTTGGATACCATATTTTACTTTATTAATCTAAAGTGGTATCTGTTGATTCCAAAGGAATCAAGAGCACAGTCTTGTGTCTCTTTGTATACGTATGTATTCTGTTCAGTTACCAACAGGAAAGATTTGAAAAGGCCATCCTTTATTGCACTATGAGAAGCAAGGGATTGTCCAAGATGTTAGACTGTTAGCACAAATACATTTATAAAATTAAAGTTCAAATGGATTATCATCATTTAGACCATGTTCATGATTAGTCTTTGAGTTAACCCATCTCAGATTTTCTCTGGGGCCTGTTAGAATTCTGTTTTACTGAGTAACTTCTAAGGGAGCAGTCCAAGCACTTGTAGTCTTGGAGAGTTTATGGCTTAGACTTTAAGTTGCATCCAGTTTTTTAGGGCTGTGCATGGTAATTTTAACCTTTAAACATTGGCAAGCTGAATCATAAAGCTAGAAAAAAACTTTGGAGTATTCTGCATTTATATCTGCTTTCATTTTTCACTTCTTTTGTTATAGAAAACATACAATGTGGTAAAGAACTAACAATGTTACAGGATAACAAGAGAGAGTGGATCAGTATACTAACGTAGTCAGTGCTGACTTGTTAAAATCCTTTTTTAATCCTTTTACCATCAGGTCTTGAATGTTGTTGTTGTTTTTTTTTTCCATGAAATTAGCAGAATATAAGGGCGGTCATTCTAGTACCTCACCCCCTTTTACATACAGGCAGTCGTCACTTATATAAATGCTATATAAACACCATCTTATTATATATAAAAAGCCATTAGCCTTGAAGTGAAAGATTTTACAAGTGAGAAAACAGTCTCAGTAAAATAATATGTTAATTTAAAAGTTATTTAAATGAAAAAGCTGCCTTGGGGCGCGTGGTGGCTCAGTCGGTTAAGCATCTGACTTCGGCTCATGTCATGATCTCATGGTTCATGGATTTGAGCCCTGCAGCGGGCTCTGTGCTGACAGCCAGCTCAGAGCCTGGAGTCTGTTTCAGATTCTGTACCTTCCTCTCTCTCTGCCCTCCCCTGCTCATGCTATCTCTCTCTCTCTTAGAAATAAATAAAACATTTAAAAAAATAATAAAAAGCTGCCTATTTAAATACTAAATTTATTAAAATCAAAGGGTTTATTTCTCAGATACTAAGACAGTCTGTGAAAAATAATATTGTGATACTTTAAATTTAGTGATATATTGCTGTACTGTAGTATTTTATCTGAGATAGTAATGATTATTATACCCATTTTATAGATGAAGAAACTGAGACATACAATGTTTAACAACTCATGTAAGAGAATATTGCTTATAAATGTGGGGCCAGAAATATAAACAGAGTAATCTGTTTATATTATCTGATGCCTAGAGCAGTGTTCTTTCCTTTGTTTTCTATAACCTGATGACTTTTAAATTAAAGTACCTTTATGCTTACTTTAATAAGTTTCTTTGTGTTTTCTCATTGCATTGTAGTTGAAGCCATTTTTGAAGTAACCCGTGCCCCCCATCCATGGTTCTTAGGTACTGCAGTTAACTAACAACTATAATTAAATTTGCTTTTCAAATGGAAAAATCATGTTTCTCGTTGAATTTTTAAAATATTTGTTTATAAGCTTGAAAGATAGCAAAATTATTTTTTTGAGGAATTGAAAATTAGTCATAATACTTTTTGAGATGAGCTGATGTAACATGCTTTTGTCAATAAGTTCTCAGATGAACACATCATATACAAACAAGCTTCTTCAGGGCAGAAGAGATTTTTAATTTAGTTTATTTGCATCATTATAGATCAGTATTTAGGCTGTTTATATGTAAATGTATGATTTGAGGAACAATTAAGTGTTGACAAAGTAGATTGCAGTCATATCAATTGCAGTGCATTTTCCATAATTTTTCTAACTGACATCTTTGATGATAAATAGTGGATGCCAAGTCAAAGCCGATTATACAGTGCACTAGGAATTCATGGGGCTGTCAGGGAGAAGACCGATTGACTTTAAATTTACATATTAATGAGAAGATTTGTTAAGAGGGTGCTTGACTATAGAAAATAACAGCGTATTTATAGGGCACGACATTTTATAAATAAAGCTGATGCAGGAAAATGGAAATTAAACCTTTTAGGTTAATAAATTCAAGAGACTGCTAAAATGCATATTTGCATTTTTATTTTCTCAAATTTACCTGACTCTTTGCAGTACATGTAGGTGGTGGTGGTTGTCTTTTTTTTTTTTTTAAATTCTAGGTCAAGTTTGTATAATTTTCAAGGATATAAAATTACTTAAAGATTTTCTTTGGGTCATTC